TAGGTACTGATTTTTTTCGTAAACGTTTAAAGCAGCTGCTAATGGTTATGTTTCAACTTGACAAAAAACTTTTAGCAGGTGCATTGCTTCATCCCCTTTATAGAAAATTAACTTTCGTCAATGATTATCAAAGAAGTAAAACTCATATTTATGTACGTAAACACTTAACAGAATTATACGGTTACGGAACGCATCAACAAGGAAATAATCATACATCTACTTGTGCTGAACCAATAAAGAAAAAAACATCGAACTATTGAAGATCAATTCGTAGATCCTGATGATGATGATCAAAATTTTATGCCAACTAGTACAACAACAAATCCAACTATTGATGAATTAGATAAATATTTAAAAATGTCAATTGATGATCAATATAGAGTATCCAATTCATTAATTTTTTGGCAGCACCATCAAGACAAACTTCCTTATTTAGCAAAACTAGCACGACGGCTGTACTCTATTCCTGCAACGTCATCATGTGTGGAGAGACAGTTTCGTGCTAGTGGTCTACTAATTAATGAACGAAGATCATCATTAAATCCTGATACTGTTCAAAATGTATTATTTGTTCGATCTATTCAAAGAACACTTCAGTACAATCCAAACATGTTTTCTCTGCAAAAATGACATTTTTCTTGTTCATTGTATTATTGCTTGTGTATTCTTTTTTTGTTACTTCAATCATTAATTTAATAAAATTTTTCATCGTGGATCGATGACTAGAATTATTTTATTTTCTTCACAATTTCCTTAATAATTCATGACATGATAGCCAATGGATTTTATTTTTAACACACTCATATGAACAGACAAATTGTAGCAATAGCTTGACAGGGCCGGGCCGGGCGGGCACTGCAAATTAGTTGCGCGGGCCCGGGCCGGGCCAGAGTTAGGTTTAGTTGGGCCGGGCGGGCTTATCAAACTTAAGGCCCGCTGTGGGCAGGGCTGGACCACGAAAAAATGGCCCGTTTCGAGCCCTGCTAAGTACACAAATGAAGACAAATACACCAGAAGGTAAGTTCTATTAATTATATACTAGTTGCAAATTTTCTTTCAAATAGAGCTTTCGAGTCGTACCGACCCATCATCGGTACCAATATGATATTGGATATTTTTTGGTACTAAAGTTCAAATTAAATGATTAAATGATAGAATATATAAAGTAAGACATTTATATATGATAAATTAGATACGCAAAGTAAAATAAATAACACAGAAGGTAATTTCTATTAATTATATAATAGTTCGAAATTTTCTTTTTTAGAGATCTTTCGAGTCCTGCCGACCAATGATCAGTGTGTGTATGATGTTATATATTTTGTTCCTATTAAACATCAAATTAAATCAATAAATGATAGAATTTATAATATGATACAATAAGACTTGTCTATATGATACATTAAATACACAAAACACGATAAATAAGCACAAGGTAATTTCTATTCATTATACTATAGTTGGAAATTGCATTTTATAGAGCTTTCGAGTCGCAGCGACCCCTTGTTAGTATCAGTATGATGTTGTACATTATTGCCAATTCAAATACGAATTAAATCGATAAATGAAAGAATATAAAAAATATTATAATGTGACTTGTATATATGATACAGTAAGTACTCCATATAAAATAAATAAAAGAGAAGGTAAGCTCTATTAATTATATAATAATTGAAAATTTTCGTTTTAATAGATCTTTCAAGTCGTACGGGCCCATGATCGGTATCAATATGATGTTGTATATTTTTGCGTGTTAAAGTTCAAATTAAATCAATAAATCATAGAATATATAATATAGTACAATACGACTTGTATATGTGATACATTAAATACACAAAATAAAATATATACAACAGTAGGTAATTTCTGTTAATTATATAATTATTGGAAATTTGTTTTTGTATAGCTTTCGAGTCGTACCGGCCGACTATCAGTATCCGTATGATGTTGTATATTTTCGGCCCATTAAACATCAAATTGAATCAATAAATGATATAATATATAATATAATATAATAGGATTTGTGTCTATGATACATTAAATAGACAAAAATAAAATAAATAAAACAGAAGGTAATTTCTATTAATTATATAATAGTTGGAAATTTTTTTTTATAGATCTTTGGAGTCGTATCTACCGAAGATCAGTATCCGTAGGGTGTTGTATATGTTTTGCCTATTAAACTTCAAATTAAATCGTCAAATGATAGAAAATATAATATAATACAGTAAGACATGTATATATGATAGATTAAATACACAAATAGAATAAATGAAACAGAAGGTAATTTCAATTAATTATATAATAGTTCGAAATTTTCTTTTTTAGAGACCTTTGGAGTCGTACTGATCAATGGTCAGTATCCGTATGATGTTATATTTTTTTTGCCCATTAACCATCAAATTAAATCTATAAATGATGGAGTATATAATGTAATACAATAAGACTTGTATATATGAGATGTTAAATACACAAATTAAAATAAATAAAACACAAGGTAATTTCTATTAATTATGTAATAATTGGAAATTTTCTTTTTCATAGACGTTTCGAGTCGTACCGACCCATCATCACTATCAGTATGAAGTTGCATATTTTTGCGTATTAAACTTGAAATTAAATCAGTACATGATAGAATATGTAATATAATACAATAAGACTTGTATATGTGATACATTAAATACACAAAATGAAATAATAAAGCGGAAGGCAATTTCTATTAATTATATAATAATTGGAAATTTTTTTTTATGTACCTTTCGAGTCGTACCGACCCATCATTAGTATCCGTATGATGTTGTACATTTTCGCGTACTAAACTTCAAATTAAATCAATAAATGATAGAATATATAGTATAATACAATAAGACTTGTATATATCATACATTAAATACACAAAATAAAATAAACAAAACAGAAGGTAATTTCTATTAATTGTAGGATGGGTGGAAATTTTCTTCTTAATAGACTTTTTAAGTGCTGCCGACACAT